ACTTTGGCTTTCCTAACCTCATCTCTGGATGCTCGGACAGTGTTTCTGTATTCCTCCCACATTACCTATCTCTGCTTCCACCCTCTGTATGCTTGCTTTCTGTGTTTGAGTCTTGCCAGGATTTCCTTGTTCATCTATGCAGGCCTCCTGGCATTTTTGCCTGACTTTCTACTTGTTGGGATGGACTGCTCTTGAGCTTGGATGAGGTGATCCTTCAATATTAACGAGTTTTCCTGGGCCCCTTTTCCCTCCAGGGTCTTATCCTGTGGGACTCTGCCAAGCAAAGCGGAAAGTCTGCTTGTTCATCTATGCAGGCCTCCTGGCATTTTTGCCTGACTTTCTACTTGTTGGGATGGACTGCTCTTGAGCTTGGATGAGGTGATCCTTCAATATTAACGAGTTTTCCTGGGCCCCTTTTCCCTCCAGGGTCTTATCCTGTGGGACTCTGCCAAGCAAAGCGGCCAAAGTCTGCTCTCCTGAAGTCCAGTGATGTGGTCTTGTTTTTTGCCCTCCTCCCTGCTCTCAGGCTCCTGAATTCCACTATCTCATGGTCACTGCAGCCAAGGCTGCCTTTGACCTTCACAGCCCCGTCAAGCCCCTCATTGTTGGCAAGTAAGAGGTCCAGCACAGCACCGCTCCTCACTGGCTTCTCTATCACTTGGGTTAGAAATTTGTCACTGATGCACTCCAGGAACCTCCTGGGTTGCTTATGCCCTGCTCTGTTGTCTCTCCAGCACATTATAGGGTGGTTGAAGTTCCCCACGAGGACCAGATCCTGCAAATGTGAGTCTGCTCCTATCTGTCTGTTGGAGGGCCTCATCCACTTGTTACTCCTGGTCAGGCAGCCTCTAGCAGACGTCCATTGTAACGTCACCCATACTGGTCTGCTTTTTAGTCCTTGCCTATAAGCTCTCAGTCGGCTTCTCATGCATCCACAGGCAGAGCTCCATGCACACCAGCTGCTCTCTCACATAAAGGTCAACTCTCCCTCCTTGTCTTCCTGGTCTGTCTTTTCTCAAGAGCTTGTATCTCTCCATTGCAACTTTACGGTCATTGGAATCATCCCACCGTGTCTTCATGATCCCAGCAAGGTCATAGGCTTGCAACTGCACACAGATCTTTAACTCATCATGTTTATTCCCTGTGGTGTGTGCATTAGTGTACTTCAGAGAGACACCCTGGCATGCTGATTTCCCGGAAGGGGTTTTGGGGATTTCTCTGTAACTGCCTGTAGGCACTTCCTTGCTTACACGCAAATACTGGAGGTGACCCTGCTTAAGCCCTGTTTTGTTGAATATTTTTTTTTTTTTATCCTTCCGTGTCACATCACTGTTCATCACAGGGCTGCTGATGACTCTCTCCCTCCCCCTTTATTCCTAACTAAAAGCTCTCCTTAACAGGTCAGCCATCCTCCTGGCAAAGATATCTTTGCCCCACTTAGTGAGTTGGATCTCATCTCTCCTAAGCAGACCCTGATCTGTAAACAGGGTCCCATGGTCATACAACCCCAAAACCTGTTGCCAGCACCAGCTCCGCAGCTAATGATTGACCTGTAGTGTCCATGTCCTCCTCTCACACTCCTACCCCTCACTGGCGGGACTGAAGAGGATATCACCTGGGCTTCCATGACCTTGATTACTAACCTCGGAGCTCTGTAGTCACTTTTGATGCAGTCCAGGTTGCCCCTGGCAGTATCATTGGTGCCCACATGGAAGAACAACAAGGGGTAGTAGTCAAAAGGCTGGACAAGTTTCGACAGTTCCTCTGCAACATCCAGGCTCCTGGCAGGCAGCAAACCTCTCTAGATGATGGGTCAGGTCATTGAGCCAGTTATTTCAGAGAAGTGTTGATTAAGATTCCAAGATCTATTTCCTGAATTGCAGTTTCCAGCTCTTGAGCTCATAATCATGGGAGCATGGTTTGAGATAACTGTAAGGTAATAGGTGTTAGGGAAAAAATTATGTATGTTATGGACTGTAAAAATTGGTATCTTGCAGACTGCAGAAAGTTGCTTGTGAAATTCAGGCTCCATCCATGAGAAAAACTCATAGGAATGTGGGCAATTCCATGAATGGTTGCTTTTTAAACAAATATGTTTTCATGGTTGAAATGTCAAAAGAGTTTATCAGTCTTAACACTCATTGGTAACGGGCAAATTTACAGAGTATGCACTTAATTTTCTTCAGAAGGTTGCATTTCACAGAAGAATTACAGTTCCTCAAAATCAAATTTTAGAAAAGCAAGAAAATGCGGTATTAGGGTAATTTCAATGTAACCCTTATTTGGTCCCTTCAAGCTGGCCATACAGAATGCATATATCTGCAAGTATTTCACCTGTATTTTCCATTAAGCAATATTGTCCAAAGGTGGAAGCAATCCTGGTGGAGCAGTGACATGACAAGATCTTGTACAGGCCATAGATATCTAGTGTATGGACATTGTAGGCCCAGCTGAGGCTCTGCTAGTTCTAGGATTAGTGGCTTGTGTTCCCATCTAACATAACTTACTTCTCTTTGTATCTTAAGCTAAAGGCTTGTTGGTGGTTTGACCTTGGCTGGCTGCCAGATGCCAACCCAGCCAAGGTCAACCCACTGCAGTCCTTTTTGGCACCCAACCTGGGGCTTGAGGAATGAGAGATAGGACAGTAATTGGGAGTGGTAATGGCCAAAACTTGGATTGGATATTGCCACAGTGAAATAATTCTCGGGATTCTTTTGTTGTAATGAGGTGAAGGGACAAGGGGTGGAGTCTTATCTTGTGTGTAAACTTTCCACTTTTTCAGTGTTGTTATGTTATTTTGATTTTGGTGTGGGAATTTTTTTTGGTAGATGTAAGTGAAGTTTGTGAAGAGTGTGTGATGAATGTATATTTTATCAATTCTTCTTAAATATGTGTTTCACAGAGGTGAGGGTGGAATGTACTGGGTGCAGGTGCCCAGGTGTTGTCAGTGGAGGTCTCCAGGGGTGGTGTCTGTGAGGGAAGGTCAGTGCTGCCCTGTGCCAGACACAGCCATTCCAGCCAACTCCAGTACAGACCCACTGCAGGATACAGCTGAGCCCTCCATCAGCAAGGGTGGTGATACCTCTGGGAGAACGTGTTTTAAGAAGGGGGAAAACACTGCACGGCAGTGAGGTATAAGGAAAAAAAGGTGGGAGAGACAACCCTGTGAACACCAAGGTCATTGAAGAAGGAAGGGGAGAAGGTGCTCCAGCTAGTGGAGCAGGTTTGGGAGACCATTGTGGAGCAAGTATTTCCCTGCAGCCCATGGAGGACCCCATGCCAGAGCAAGTGGAAATTTTCAGAAGGAACTGTGGCCCATGGGGGATCCACGGTGGAGGAGTTCCTGAAGGACTGTAGCCTGTGGAGAGGATCCCATGCTGGAGCACTTCATGAAGGACTGTAGCACTTCATGAAGGACTGTAGCTTGTGGAAGGGACCCCATGCTGGAGCAGGCAAAAAGTGTGAGGAGGAGGGAGTGACAGAGAGGAACCATTATGGACTGACTGCAACCCCTGTACTGCTGCACCACGTGGGGCAGGGGGACATAAAGGAGTTGGGAATGAAGGAGTGAAGTTGAATGGGTCTAGAAGAGGGGTGGGGAGAAGGTGTTTTAGTTTTGTCTTTGTTTCTCTGTTTCTCACTATCCAACTCTATTTTAATTGGCAATAAATTAACATAATGCTCCCCAAGTCTGGTCTGTTTTGTCTGTGATGGTAATTGGAAAGTGATCTCCCTGTCTTTATCTTGACCCATGAGCTTTTAATCTTATTTTCCCCCCTATCCTGTTGAGGCGGGGGAGTGGGAGAGCAGCTGGGTGGGGGTTTGGCAGCCATCCAAGGTCAACCCATCACAAGGCCTTAAGTTCTTTAGTCAGATGTTTGTTTCAGATGTCTGTATTTTTCTCAAGTTTCCTAGCAGGACAGAAACCAGCTTACCACTGGAAAGTTTTAACTCCTGTGGTGGTAATGTAGTAAATGACACCTGTAGGCTGTTTTTGTGGAAGTGAAATGTTTGTTGAAGAAAGTTTGTCAGGTGTACAATTGTATTCTAACCATGGGGTTAGAACTAAACTAAAGTTTAGTTTAAATTTTTAGAACTACAGTGCCAGTAAAAGGCTTGTCCAGGTGACAATTCATGTTCATCAAGCTTGCTCTCTTTCCTAAAAGCAAACCAGAGCATTACAAAAATTAAAAAAAAAAAGTTGGATATGGTAACCTTGGTCTAAACTCACATTAGAATATTCTTTTTGAAGCTATCTGGTGGTATCTAAATTCCATAGGAACTTGTTAAAGTACCTCTAGAGTTGCTTTAATAACCTGTAACCTTCTTATTTGCATTGACAAATGAAATATGTCCTTCTTTGTATAATTAGTATACTGGGCAACAGTAAATATATAAGGAGCTTTGTTGTAGCAACTGGCTATAGTTCTGAACGTTTTTCCTTGACAGTTTATTTCAGTTCCCTTTTGTGAGTTTGACTTTTAGAATCATAGAATCATTTAGGTTGGAAAAGACGTTTAAGATCATAGAGTCCAACCGTTAACGTAGTACTACCAAGTCCACCACTTTTGCCTCAATCTCTCTCATGTTGTCCTCTCTTCTTACTGCTTGCTTAGTTTGTCCTTTTCATCTTCTGCATTCCCCTATTTAGTGTATTGTGCTATTCTGTATAATTCTCTCCCTACCCTCCTGCCCCAATGCCATTGTGAGCTGTCATAATTTTTTGTGACTTAAGGCTCTTATTCCTACCCTTTATATAATCAATTTCAGTCTCCTCAGAACAGGGCCTGCCAAATACTCTGCTTCCTGCCAGCTGTGTCTTGGGTGTCCTAGTGTGACTTGAAACTTGCTCTCGTTTGTCAGTTTTCTATTCATTTGACACTTCATCTCTCCCTGTGTAATGAACAAACTGATCCATTTTTGACGACAACAGCTTTGGTTTTTAATAGCAGAACTGTTTTTGTGAACTCATGTTTTATATTCCTTTTACCCTTTTTTAGATGTTGGATGTCTATGACATTCTTCCTTTTGATAATCCAGATGGTGGCGTGTGGAAACAAGGATTCGATATCACGTACAATGAAAATGAATGGGACAGTGAACCGCTTCAAGTTTTTGTCGTGCCTCACTCACATAATGACCCAGGTAATTTTTTAACTGTATTGATCTAGAGGCTTTTGAATCAAGAAATATATTGCCATTTCTGTTAAGATTTGGGCTTTTTTGAAGCATACTACGTAATATGTTAGATTTAAGTCTAGCTAGGTGGTTAAGCAGATGTATAATTCAAATGCCATTGTCTTCGAGTGACAACTGTTATGATAAGAGTTGTACATGTACTTATTTATTAACTGGAGTAGAACTTCATTGTTGATATTGGAAGGTAATATGGATTCTCTGTGTTCATCCTGCTGGTAACCCAGTCAGTTTATTCATTGTTGCATTAAATATGGCCTGTTCTTATTTTGACTTTTTGGACTGTCATAGGTATGTAACCCTCAGCCTGTGCTAGAGAGATGTGCTTTTTGGAAGATGTGACAGTGGCAAATCTGAGGTTTCTGACTTGTGCACATCCCCACCCCCAGCCTACAGTGGGATAATGTTAAAGTCTGGATTTAAACTGAAACCTAAGTGTGCTTGCATAATTTCACTTCTTCCTCCCAAGTGGATATTTACTGTGTAATAAATAAAATGGAGAAGTGTCACTTTATTTTGAAATAACTGTAAAATACACCCAAAAGCAGTGAATTATACTGCTGTAGTATACTCCTGGTACACGTACACTGACCATGAGAAGCTGGTGAAGCTGCTTGTTATTGTGAAAAGCCACAATTTCAGCATTTTAAAACTTTACTACCGTGTATCTCTAACAGTTTAATTTGTTGTTTGAAGTACTGTGGATTTGAGTGAAGTAAGATATGGTAGTTTGAACATAAGTGACTTTTATTTGCGTGTGTGTAGCATTTTCAAAGAAAATGAACACTGGAATTTAGAGGGACTGTATTGTCCAGTTATGACAGCTAAAATAACAAAGTATGGATATAATAAAAATATTCAGAGAAAATAATCACAGTATAAACTTTGATCTGCTTTTTTGTAGAACTGTCTTTAAACCTGTGTCCATTTATTTCCTCTCTGGTTGTCGGTCTCCTGAAAACTTTCCTGGAGAGAAGCCACACCCTGTATAGTCATTTAATGAATCTGAAACCACCCTAAAGGAATGTACAGAACTTTTAATTCTCTTGGTTCTTATTAGAATGGGGTATGGAGTTTACCTCTCTCCCTTCTTTCTGCTGAAGCTAGTAGGATCATATCCTATTTGGGGGAGGACGGTTGGCATCCTGCTAGAGGCCAGTTGCCTGGTGTCACATCTGTCCTTCTGAGATGATTTTAGCTGGATTGAACAAAGACCCCCTGCACAGTGCAGGCTGAGGTAGCTCTACAGGAGCATGAGGCTTGGGAGCTGCAGGGGAAGGTCCCGAGGGAAGGTGAGAAGAGCTTTGCATAAAACTTCGCTGGTGTCCCTTCAAGTCATGAGGTTCGGTTGGGGCTCAGTGTTCCTGCACTGATTTTCTTTTTTTTTTTTTCAGGTGCAGTCTGTTAGTGGAGGCTAAGAGCCTGCATTTTTAAGCTTCACATTCCATGCCCTCTTTTCAGTGGATCAGTAGAGGAGACATTTTTTTATGTCCTTGAGATAAACTTTCAGACTGTTTGTTTTGGTAGACTTTTCCAAACTTAACCAGTAGATTCCTTCTAATTCTGGTGCTAAGCTTGCTGTTTCATGACTCTGTCTAGGTTGATATATCAAAATGGTAGCTTCTCTCCTCTTCCTACTCTAGAATTTATTAAAAACCCCTGTGGTTTCATAACTGCATATCCAAGATGTTTCAGATCTTTTGGCATTGCCATTAGAGATAGACCTCTGCCCATTTCTCTAAAGGAGGCTAGTTTTGACTATCCATATGGGTCCCATAAAAGAACAGGGTTTTTTTAACACAACCCCTGGTTCTTTTTCTAGAGGTTTTAGTGATTTTGTTTTTATTTTTTTTTAAATTATTTTTATTTTATTTACATCCTTCTGTAACTGTCTTCCAAAACAGAATATATTGGGCTGATTTCCTGTGTGGTGCCTGGCCTGTCTTGCAGTACTCCATGCAGAATTGACCAGTTTCTGTTGCCATTCTGGAAGGACTCTTTAGAGCTAACCTTTAGCTTTCTGACCTCCAGCCTTCTACTTTCTTCTTCACATCTAGATTCCTGTCTTGCCTCCTATAATCAGGCAAACAGCTATGCTAGATTTTTCACAGCCAACACCTTTTGTGTCTGACAAACTTTGGTGTTGGGTGCCTTAATCTAGTCTTTGGTTCATCCTGTAGCACCTGTTCTGCTTACCAAAAGTGGCCCACGGAGCACTCGTGTTCCAAGCGATTTGCGTGTTGAAGTTACTGGACCTCTTTTCACATCAAGATTATTTTGATAGATACTAATATCTGTCACTACAAATTACGTTCCTCTTCACTGTGTGCCAAACAAGGCATACAGTCTTGAGGCTGCTGTTGGCTCAGCTGGCCAATAGTGAAGGCTATCAATATCAGGTTATGCTGGAGGAGGCTTCAACAAAACCTCCAGATTTTTAGATATGTGTCTTTTGGGACTAGCAGACTAAATAGCTCTGTACTGCTCCTATAAGAAGGGTCCCCAAAATAGTGGAATTGTTGGGAAGAAGGACATACCTTTTATTAGCCTCCAAATTAGGATGGCAAATTACTAAGCTCACTCAATGAGGAATGCCTTGAGCTTCACTGTATATTTGCCATGATGCTTGAATTATTACACCTTCTTTGGAGGGTCAGAGGATAACAAGGGTTTTCTCCAGGTCCAGAGAAATGGGCAGTTCCTCTCTATGTACTGCATTCTTCTCTGTCAGGTTTAGGTTCTTGGTCTGTGTTTAAAAAAAACCAACCAAACAACAAAAAAAACAACAAAAAAAACCCAAACACACACATAAAACCCCCCAAACAAACAATCCCCCAATCACAAAACAAAAAAACAGAAGCCCCAAATAAAAACCAACTGCACCACCACTTCCTTATATCTAGTCTGACTCTACCGCCCTTTAGTTTAAAGCCATTCCCCAGGCGCAACAGGCCCTGCTAAAAAGTTTGCCGCCATCTTTTTTATAAGCCCCCTTTAAGTACTGATAGGCTGCAATAAGGTCTCCCCAAAGCCTTCTCTTCTCCAGGCTGAACAACCCCAACTCTCTCAGCCTTTCTTCATAGCAGAGGTGTCCCACCCCCCTGATCATTTTCGTGGCCCTCTTCTGGACC